CCCCCTCCCCCTCCCCTGCCCCCAAAAAAATAATATTATTATAAATGTATCTGTTAGACTTCTTTATTAAAACATATCACTTGGCTCATAATCCATCAGATCAACATATTAAATCATGTTTTTAAATTTACATTGGATTACTCTTTCCGAAACGAAAACGATTAGTTTGCGTGTAGGGTAAAATACTTTTTACCCCTTGTAGGTTAAATCAATGAAACTTTGCCTTCGTATATTTTAGATATCTACTCTTTACGCTCTTCTAAACTAAAGTGTAACACCTAAGAGAGTAGTATAAAAAGAGTGTACTACACTTCATATTTGTAATTTTATAATAGCTAGCTTAGATAGAAAAACAGATTGGTTCCTTTTGGTGGGAGAAAATAATAAATATTACATAAAAGTCATACAAACATGATATATAATTTAAAAATATTGAAAAATTAGGTATTTATTCAGATTTCCACAAGCAGATAAAGTGTTACTAGTTTAAACATCAGGGACGAGACATATTTTACCCTAAAATACAACTTGTAAACCCCAAATGATAATAGAGACGAGTTGTAATTTCAGATTTCTTGAATTCAAATTTTGATAATTTTTTGGAATTAGGTCATAAAAGATTTATTACTCATAAATACCTTAATGTCGACATGAATAATCTACTTTTGATCATATCGAAAAGAGGATTAGTCGTGGTATGTCCAACACCATGATAATTGAACCAAAAAAATAAAAATAAAATGCAACTTGTATGATAAATTTTGCTCTTAAAGCATGTCTCTAAACTGGAGGAAGAGGTCTATTTAAGGATTCCATTCCTACTAGGCTACTACACTCGCACACGAACTCCTCATAGCAGCTCTCAATCCACTAACACAATGTAATTTCTTTTTGTTCTAGCTCTCCCCATATTCCTTTTTTTTGTTCTTCCTAAATACAGAAAAAATGGAGAAATGCTTCATCCACCGCCGGGTCCTCCACGACTACCATTTCTTGGAAACTTTCATCAGATCGATAACTCAGCCCCTCATCTATGCCTTTGGCAACTTTCAAAAACATATGGCCCTCTTATGTCCTTGCAGCTTGGTACTGTGCCAACCCTTGTGGTGTCTTCGGCAAAAATGGCAAAAGAGATTATGAAAACACATGATCTCACATTTTCTAGCAGGCCTACCTCGTATGGCCCTCAAAAGCTGTCTTATAATGCCTCAGATGTGGTTTTTTCACCATATAATGACTCTTGGAGGGAGAAGAGAAAGATTTGTACACTCAATCTCTTTAGTCACAAAAGGGTACAATCCTTTCGTCCCATTCGTGAGGATGAAGTTTGTAGGATGATCAAGAAAATATCTGAACAGGCTTCTTCATCCAAGCTCACTAATTTGAGTGAGATAGTAATGTCTCTCGCATGCAGTATTATCTGCAGAGTTGCTTTTGGTAAAAGTTATGATGATGAAGGGTATGAGAGCAGCAGATTCCATGGACTATTTTACGAAGTTCAGGCCGTGGCGTCAAGCTTTTTCATCTCAGACTATTTTCCTTTGTTTGGTTGGGTTGATAAACTCACCGGATTGCATGCTCGGCTAGAGAAAATCTTTAAGCAAACGGATATATTCTACCAAGAACTCATTAATGACCATCTAGGTCCAAATAGGGCAAAATCCGTGGAAGAGGACGTCATAGACATATTACTACAACTGAAAAAGGATCAATTATCTTCCATACATCTTAGTTTCGACGATATTAAAGCAGTCATAATGGTAATTATTAATATTGTAGTTTCAAACTTATGCTTTTAAGTAGAAAGTAGAAGCGGGGAAGTCTTATAATGCGTTTGGTAAAATGAATGAAAAATTGAAATAATAAAAAATAAGAGTGAACCTTTGTTCTCACATTATGTTTGATAAAATAGATGAAAAGTTCAAAAAATAATTTTTTTTTATGTTTGGTAAGATGAAAAAAGTAATTTTTATTTTTAAAAAATAAATACATATTTTATCATTATATTTATATAAAAATTAATGTATATATAATATTTAATATTTAATTAATAAATATGATATATGTATGCATCAAATGATATATAGATAAATAATGTATATTTCAAGACATATAATTAATTTTTCATCCATTTTTCTTCTTAATTTTAGAGGGATGAATTTTGGTGAGTAGGAAGGAAAGCTCTTCTATCCATTTTTTTATTATTCATATTTTTTTTCCTTATCAAACATGATGTTTATCTATCCTTTCAACTTTTTTACTTTTCTAACTTTCTATCATTTTAAATTTTTACCGTATCAACGAAGCATTACTCTGATCATTGGGAGGGAAAAAAAAGAATTTCTCTAACCTTTTTTTTTTGTTTCCTTCTTCATGATAGAATATATTGGTCGCTGGGACGGATACAGTTGCCGCCACTCTGGTTTGGGTTATGACGGGGCTGATGAGAAACCCTAGAGTGATGAAGAAAGTGCAAGAAGAAGTTAAAAAGTTGACAGGAGAGAAAGGCAAAGTAGATGAAGATGATATCGAAAAACTTCCTTATCTCAAGGCAGTTGTCAAGGAATCAATGAGAATATATCCAACTGGTCCTCTTCTCGTGCCTCGAGCAACTACTCAAAAATGCATTATAGATGGATATGAAATCCAATCCAAAACCGTAGTTTATGTGAATGCATGGGCCATTGGAAGGGATAAAGAATACTGGGAGAACCCAGAGGAGTTCTTACCTGAAAGATTTGTAGGTACTACTATTGACTTTAAAGGAAAAGATTTTGAGTTTATTCCTTTTGGTGCTGGTCGGAGAGTCTGTCCTGGTATAAACTTGGCATCTACGACAGTGGAGCTTGCACTTGCTAACCTACTCTACGCATTCGACTGGAAACTGCCTGCTGGGATGAAGAATGATGATGTAGACACTGAAGTGATGCCCGGTTTTGCAGCTCACAAGAAGAATGCTCTGTGCCTTATAGCTAAACCTTTTGTATGTTAAATTTGTGGTTAACTCAAGAGTGGTCAGTGATTACATCTATAAGTCTTATGTATGAAAAAATAGAAGAAAAACTTGTATCTCTTGTATGCACCATGCTAAGTTTTGCTAATAAAAGAAATTGTAGCACTGGCCTTGTGACTATATGTTCTTTAGTATCGTAGATACTCTTAACCCATGCGGGGTAAAAGTAGGAGCAATGCCTCGTCTTCATTCCCAACCCCCTTTGATGCCCTATGTTTCTTGCTCACCACCAACCCATTCCACTACATCTCAGCTCTCATCCAACCCACTTCACCAACTTTTCAACCTTCTATTCCCATTGTTTTTTTCCTTTGCTCTACCTCTATCTTAATGCCTTCTTTTGTTGGCTTTGCTTTTCCTTGTGGTGTACTGATCATGGCTTGACTATGCAAGCTTTCATTTGTACCTTTGCACCTTCTTTATCCTTAATACAAACTTACATTTCGAAAAAAATAAAGTATCGTAGCATTTCGGTTTTATGGGATTCTTCTTACTTACCACAAACAAAAAAAAAAGTACCATAGTCTTGTCCTCGTGTAAAACTCTAGCAATTAAAGAGATGGTGCTCAATATTAGTCGTACAGAAGGTGGAAGCAAGTGGAAATTAAGGTCGCATCAACCCGTTCTAATACCATGTAAAAGTTTATAATATAAGAGAAACTTAATACAAAAAAAGTAAAAGAAAAATGAGACACAAAGATTTAACATATCTTTGATTAATATAAAGAAATGAATGCGACTACATAGATAACATATCATATTTTAGGGTGTTGAATAAAATGATAGATGACAAAATCACATAATTGACGGGGCTCACTGACTAGTGCATCCATTGCACGCTAGAACTGCGGAATTTTGATTCTTTCAAGACTCCCTAAATTGCTTATAGGCCAAATAAGCACGCCATCTACAAAATAAAATACTGTAATATAATATTGAGTCTCTCCTTTACTTTAATTTGGACAAGTAAGAAAGTGAAAGTTTTACCAAACACATTTATTTGTCTAATTGTATAATGTACGAGTAGAACACAAGATAACGTTTAATAGTGGCAAGACTTCTAACTAATATGCCCGCTACAATCTACTTACTTGTTGCAATAATTTGAGTATTAAAATGACAAGGGTTCGATCTTAGAAGATACAGTTTCACAAAAAAGTAAAAATCAATAGTATATTAGAATTTTTCCTCACCACTGCCCACCACCACAACCCACCACGGCCACCACCACCTCGTCACCGCACCACAACCATTGTCAACCACCATCACTATCGCCCATCACCTCCCACACCCACCACCACCACCACCACCACCACCGTCGTCATCGATGGCTACCCCTATTACCATCGTCACCTAAAACCCACCACCACCATTATCATTGCCACCCACGGTTGCCACCATGATGATGGTCGTGGTCATCCACCATAATTATTACTGTCTCCTATCACTACCACTACCATCACTTACTTCATTACAACCGGTACTTAAATTTTTTTCTTTTTCCTCTATATTTGTGATTTGATTTTGAGGGTGAAAATAAATATATTTATTATTGGCCAATTTTTTTATAACTTCGTACTTTTAGGTACGGACAATAACTAATAAACCTATATATCGCAATAATTTGAATATTAAATGACGTGAGTTTCATATTAGAATATATGTTATAGGGATTCCAAATCAATATAATATGATTTATTTCTGTTGCAATAATTTGAATGTTAAATGATGTGAGTTTCATATTAGAATATATGTTATAGGGATTCCAAATCAATATCAATATAATATGATTTATTTCTATAAAATAGGATTAAAGATGTCATAGACTTGAGCAAATCTCNTTCCTTTTTTTTTTTTTAACATTATTGAGCTTTCTCAATAATTTTTTAGACGTAGCCATAAAAGATTCATAATCTATAATTGGCTCTAAAACATCCTCCTCTCCATTAGAGAAAAAACTTCTTGTATTTTTATGAACAACAAGGTTTTTGGCATAGTCATCCTTAGAAAAATTGTCATTTAATTTCAATGTTTGATGAATTTTATCCCTGAACATTTTTATGATGAACTCCTCTTGACTGTGAACACGCACGCTGGTGAACTGCCTCCACCATCTACTTGATAACAAGCATTGACTTGTACAAAGAATTATGATCCTGCTTATTTAAAACACATGGACCATATACAACGAAAATCTCTTCCAAAAACTCTTCAATACCATGCTCAGAATCATCTCTGAACCGGAAATCTCCCCGTCCTCGTCACCACCCACATGATTCAGATTAATCAAATTGAAAGAAACTTTTTTTGTAGTCATGATAGGCGGGACCTTTCTAGCATAAAGAATTAAAGAACGCCTATTTTTGTCCAATTGTGATGAGTCTTGAACAGCATTTACTGCTATCTCCTTTTCCCCATTGTCTGCAACTGGCCGAGTGATATAATAATGTTATTTTTACAATAATGTTAGTGATATAGCATTTTATATTAGAATGCCTTGAAGTTTGGTCATCCAGTTATTGGCCCTTCCTACTATTATGTGTATGGAATTTTATTTTAATTGATAGCTGATCTTTGAAAAAGTCTTTTCTTTTGTTTGGGAATCGAGTAATATTATATTTATATTTAATAATATTATGTCATGAATAATATTTTAATAATATAATTGTAATCCCCCCTCCCCCTCCCCC